ACTTTAACCAGTTTTCTTACCATTTTGTATAAATGAAATGTAGACTAAAGCAAAACCAGAAATATATTTCAGGGCAAAAAGAATACAGTAACCTACCACAGTTCTATGGTAAACAAAGCAACATAGGTTAACATGGAACGCACATAATGGAAAGGTATTTATCATATGTAAATGGGCCATTAGACCCAGATATGCTAATGTATATTGCCCTTTAACCCCCAAGAATACAGTACTAGGAAACCTGTAAGGAAAGTCAAAAACTTTTTTTAACACCCAAGGGCCAAGAAGCCAAATAACATCTGAAGACGTGAATAGCAGTCTGCTGGCTTCTTCGTCTTCTCTTCCACCATTTACCTCAGCGAGGTGTTGGGGCAAGATGTAGGGATTGTTTGTGCGCTTTTTCCAATGCATTCTTCTTCTGCGTTCGACGTCAGTCATGCTAAACATTGAGTCCTGTCTGGATCATAAATAGGATTGTGCGTTTAAGGTCGCCACCTGTCCCCCATAGCTTCTCTCGCAATGTGGATCCCCTGGACCAGATCCACAGTCTTTGCTGGGAGAGGTAAGGGCAGTACTGCAGTATGTGCTCAGGGGTCTGTCTTTCTGCTTCACAATCACAGGCAGCAGATTCTTTATGCCTATCCTGTGCAGGTGTGCTCGAATGCATTTTACAAGTTGGTGTTCATTTTTGTTAGTTTGCTCCAGATGATCTCGCTCTTGCGTGGTCTTCCCCTTGCTTTGTGTTCATTATATTTCTTTAGCATGGCTCTTTGTGGCAGTTGGTACCTGGGAATTCTAATCAGGTGGCCAAACCATCTCATTTGTTGTTCTTTAATGCATTGTATGACTGGTTTCAGTCCGTCTTCTTCTAATTTCTTCATTCTTGATTTTATCTCCTTGTCACAAACAGTGGAATATGTCTATAGCAGCCAAAGGGTTAACAAACAAAGCTTGGCAGACCCCACACTCGTAACTTCTTACCAACAGTATAGCCTGTACCAGGTATCACAGTCATCATATACACATGTTTGTGTTCAGTTTTACAATACTAATATTACACACAAGGTGCCTGCGTGGTCTCCAGGCATGGTGTCCACCTCGAGTGCGAGAGGATCCGGCTCAAGCCCCGGTAAGGGCTGGGATTTTTCACGTAGACTAGGACTTCTAGTAATTCCCCCTGATCTCTGAGTAGTGAGATCGGATGCCCGTGTGCATTGTTGGAAATCGCTGCCCAGGCAAAATTTTGTTAAAAATCTACCCAAAGTATTTCAGGATCCTCGCCGGTGCTACAGAGCTTGTGCACTGTGCTGAGCTTCTTTGGGCTCAGACTTCAGTTAGAAGAAGAATGGAGCACTTATGGGTTACACCCGTGTGCCATGATGTTGATGAACCTCAAAACCTAACATTAAACACACTAACACTGGACCCTTCTTACATTCTCAGTAATGCTAGATTCACTTTTTATTTTAAACAGACCAATAAACATCTAGTGGGTAATGTAGTCAACATCACTGGCTGCGATTGCTCTCCTGAGCACCCATTTTGTTATAAGACAAGAGAAGGTAGCACTATACTGGATTTATTCTGAGCAGAAAAGAGCAAAGAATCACCAGTCAGGCACTAAAATGGGAAATAAAGGGACCGAGAAAGTGAGGACGCCCAAAAGAAACCATAAAATGAATGTTGATTGTTGAGTTAAGAATCAACGTCATGGCACTCCAGACACTCCCATAAACGCTCCGTCCCCCATCTTCAGCAGCAAGCGAAAAGTTCCAATTCCAGTGTCACCTGTAACAGTCTGACTATATCCACCTCATGCTTCCTCTGAGTGTTGAGGGTCAGTCAGATCCCCTGATAACTCCTCACAGCGCCATTCTCCTCAGACCGTAATGATCTATCTGTGCCTCCGCACTGTTCACTTGCCCAAAGGGCACTCACAATATCTAACAATGTCATACAACAGTTCACCACCAAGTGGTGCAGGATCAGCCAGTCTGTCTGCCTACTCATTTCCCAACACACCGGCAGGTTTGATATTGATGAGAGAGGCCAAAGATGCTGGGCTGGATTCAATCCATGATATTGAACTACTACTACTTCTTGTTTTCACTGGCTGTAAACTCTGGACATTATACTTGTTCCAGAACCTGAGTGCTGCGTGCACATCCATATTACAGATCTGACTATTTGTATGCAGACTGTTGTTTCCTTGCCTCTCATGCAGGTGCACTCAAAGGACGCCCCCCAGTTAGCCAACTCTTACAACATGCTTGTTGGGGAGGCAGTGGGTCTATTCTTGTTTTCCCCATAATGGGACCCCAGAACCCTCATGGGGAGATACTGAACTGACTGGAAGAATAGACTGCAATCCTTATGTGACATTTAATGGTACAACAGGACACTTCTTCTTCACTTCCTCTTTTACCGCTGTGGGTGTCGAGGGAGATATAAGGTTCTGTTTCTAGCTCTTATGGCTGCCTCGACCATAGGCACATCGTGCTCTACGTCCTTCTTCTCTTTCCATGTATGCTTTGTATGGTATGGTGTCACAAGGCATTCTCTCTAAGTGGACAAACCATTTCACTTGCTGTCTTTGTATGTAATCCAGAATTGGTTCTGTGCCGACTTGTTCTCTTATGATCTCATTCCTGATCTTATCTCTTATGGTCACTCGTACAGCCCTTCTCAGACATCTCATTTCCGTGGTTACTAATTTTCTTTTATGGTTTGTTGTGAGAACAGGACACTGATGATGATTACTTTAGAATGGGTTGACCTAGAAGACCAGGTCAGTTTAAAATAAAAAAAAATAAAAAAGGCTCTGATGGTGAATCAAACCAAATACATTGTTTATTATGATGACACAATGACCACACACAAAAATGTTCACCATAAATATCTTTTAAAAAAACACTTTAAAAAAAAAATACACTGTTAAAAAAATCACATAACCTTGCAAGTAAAGCTTGCCACTCTGCTTGAAGCACCCCTGTCTCCACATTTCTCAGCATGCTTTCAGAGTCTGTTACAATGTGTATGTATCTTGTTCTTTAGCCACCAGCAAGCTGCAGTGACCACCTCCAGCTCCATTCTTATGCTAGATCTTGTGGTATCATTTGCCAGGCAATTTTCCATTGGCTTTCGCTACGAAATCCTAGGCACTTCTCTTCCCTCTCAACACTGAACCATCTGTATAAATATTCACATCATCTGGACGTGAACTGTTGTGAGTCAACTGTTGTACTTCCACCTCAGCAGCGCCCGCTGGCTACTCTCTGCACTCCGGTCCTAATGCGATCATGAACCTACATAGGTCAGACTTTTCCTCTGGTACTCTGACCCACTCCTCTCTTCGCCCAATGTTCTTCAGCATGCTTACTTGTCTTATTGTGTCTTCTGCTTGAGCCATCCACAATTTTTCCTTTTTCAGCCTCTGACCCTTGGCTGCAGCCAAAGCTTCATACAGAGGGTGTTCTTTGTCTGCAGCTACTCTGAAGTATGACTTAACCTGCAGCACCTTTAGCTTGTCTGCAATAGTCGATAGCTTTATCCTGTATGGCACCCAGTTTCACTAGCTGACTCTTTGAGACAGTGAGCAAACATAGTCCACAATCAATCACTGAGATGATTAAGTGCTGGCATAGTGTGAACAACATTCTTTGCTCCATGTCCACTGATGCCATAATCTTTAGTGCATTAAGACTTTTTTGGGCCTTTGACACAACCCTCTATGTGATCTTTGAAAGACATGATTCCCAGGCACCACAGTTTGCTGTCTTTCTTGATGTCCCTGCCATTTATTCTGAGACTTTGAACATCAGCTGTTGTCTAAAGACCACCAAAGGACGGTTGCCTTTTCTGGGTTGATTACAGCAATCATCTCTGTACACCAGTCAATCACATTATCTAATGTCGCCTGTAACTCTTGTGCAAGAATATCATCTGCAAATGACAATATTCTATCAATTTTGGGTGTTTCCAGTTTTGCAATCTTGCTCGTATACACACTGAAAAGCACAGATGAAATTGCAGATCCCTGTGGTAGCCACGGGGCTATAATACGTGGTTCGGAGGTCCATGAACCCAGCCTGAGGGCTACAAGACGAGAATACAAAGCAGATGCTATCCAGTTCACCAACCAAGGACAGAGTCCCTTCTCCATTAGCAATCATCAAGATATTATATCTGACTGTGCTGTAAGCATCTTTTAAATCAAGTGCACCTACCACCATTTCCTGCTTGTTCTAAAAACCTTCGAAGGCATCAAAGACAAAAGTGACTGCATTTGACCATGTGTCCTTCCCTGGCCAGTAATTTCCCAAACTTCCCGGAAGGAGCTTTCTCAGTTTCAAAAAGTCTTGTATCTTATGTCAAAATTGTGAGTATGTATGTTCTTTTCAGTAGCCATGCATTTTTTTTTTTTTTTAACAGTATTTCTGGTAATGTGGTAATCCTAGTTTCAGCTTCATAGCAAACGGGTCATCCCACAGTTGCTCCGCTCCTGTGCCAACAAAAAACAAACGCAGCTCACAGTGTCACGCCATGCACTCAACTCAGAAGCTGGGCGACGAAACTACTGAACAGTATATGAACAGTATATAATCATACCCACCATGCCTACACTGTGTGCAGCCGCAGCCAGTGCCCATCTGTTATACAGGTGCAGTGGCTGCCACCCAAAGATTTCATGTCATCAAAAACCCACAAAAGTCAGAAAACTGACCGAGCGGGGGATGGGGGGGGGGGGGATGGTAAATAAGTATCATTAACTGAGGAAGAAGCTTAGTTCTTTCAATGCTTTAAACAACAATTACAACGGCTGGTTTGAACCTGTCGATATACTCACGCCACTATTCTGTAGCAAGACACTAAACTCCATAACCTCCGCCATCTGAGCTTCTTGATTCATACAAGTGTGAAAATTATTGTTAACTGTCTGAGGTATTATTTATCCAATGTCTTAAGTTGATGAAGCTTAGTTCTTTTAACGGTTTAAACAACTATGACTGCTGGTCCGAACCTGTTGAAATACTCACACCACTATCCTGTAGCAAGACACTAAACTCCATCCCCTCCCTGAGCTCAATCCCCTCCACCATCTGAGCCTCTTCATTCATACAAGTGTGGCTGTCGCTTACAGCCTCTGTCAGATTCACAAACAAAGCTTGGCAGACGTTACACTTGTAATTTTTTGCCTCTTCCACAGAATGAATGTCACCTTTAACCTCCACCTCACTGTTTTCTACTTCAGAGTTTAGGTTTTGTATTTCAATAGTTCCTTGAACCAGGGCAGCGTCGATCTCTACAGGTTGTTCCACTTTTATTGCCGGTTCAGCATCTCCACCCACAGCAAGCAGATTTGAGATGACGTGACATTCAAGATGTTTGACCATAATGTGACGGTGCTGGGTTTGTATGCCACAAGCACCACACACAAACACCGCCTGTTCTTTGTGAGAACTTGTGTGAATTTGTAAAGCTGAAACATTTTCAAAAAACTCAAAGCATTCGCCGCAGTAACAGTAACCAACCTTGTTGGCGAGAATTTCTTCTTGTGTGTGTGATTCTATGTGTTTCAGAAGGAGGTTTCTAATGCGAAAGGTTTCCCCGCATGTACCACAACCCAGCGGCTTTGGTGCTCTATGGAATGTGCTCATGTGAGTCTCCACAGCTTTACGGGATGTGAACTCTTCACAACACACACCACACATATATCCAGCACCTCCAAGAACATGCACTTCCTCGATGTGGGCCCGGAGGGAGCGGGTTTTCTTGACGTCAAACTGCATGCCACAGAAATGACAGGCCAGTTGTGAGACTAAGCCAGCACGTTCGTTTGCAGTCACCATAGCAATCTCTGCTGCTGTTAAGTCAGAGTCATCGAAGCCCTCCATTGTTGCTGCCATTCTCATCAAACTTGGAGTTTCTTCAGTAGGTGTTCTGCAAAAAGACCAAATATTTTAATGTCACCAAAGAGAAAAGATGTCACATTTTTTGGGAAAGTTTCAACTACTCAAGTAATTCACTGAAAATTGTGTAACACTAAATTATTACATTTTTTTGGTGCCATGTGGCAATGACTAATTTGTTTCCATTTTTTTGGTGCCGTGTGGCAATGACTAATTTGTTTACATTTTTTTGGTGCCATGTGGCAATGACTAATTTGTTTACATTTTTTAATGGTAGCAAATGGTGCTGCAATAGTAATCGTAATGACACAAATATTGAAATATAATTTTTATTCTGTAAAATAATTATTTAACATACCTAGGAGTAACGACGACTAAAGAGAAGTAGTTTCATCCACCAGGCCAAACGGCTCTGCAGACAAACCACTGATTTACCTGCAACCGATAGATCCTTAAATGCTGTCCCAGAACGGACCCCCTAGAGAGAGGAGTATAAGTTTCCAATACACATCAAGACAGAAGTGAAAGGAGTATTTGACAAGGAAGTACAAAACAGTGTGCAGGGCAAAACAGCCAACCTCAGTCTACTTGATGATGAATACCCACAGAATCTTTGGGTCCATGTTTACACAGATGGGTCAGCAGAAAGTGCAGTCAGAAACAGAGGTACAGGAGTGTACATTGAGTATCCTAATAATACCAGGGATACAGCCAAAATACCAACAGGAAAGCACTGTCACAACTATGATGCAGAAGTTCAAGCCATCAAGATAGCGGTAGAAAAACTACTAAATAAAGGGTATTTTTCACAAACAGTGGTATTCCTGACAGATGCAAAAGCGGTACTTTAGGCACTCCAGTCTGGAAAATTACCAAGCATATGGACACTATTATCCGAACTAGGCAACTGTTGTAAATTAGTAATGCAGTGGATACCTTCCCACTATGTTCCCGGAAACGAAAGAGCTGAGGAAGGTGCAACTGAAGAACAACCCGACATACCAGTCTCTTATCAACAGAAGAAAAGAATGATCAAATCAATCAGAATGCCACCGAAACTGGCACAAGACGATTACCATATTATGGACAGACCATAGCAAGTCATTATCCTTCACCTTAGAACAGGGCACAATTGACTTTGCTGCCACATGTACAACAAATTTAAGATTGGCCAATCAGCCATGTGTACCTGTGGACTGGCACCCGAGACAAAAGATCACATCCTCCAAGACTGTCCCAGATTCAGTGCTTCCAGACAAAACTTCTGGCCCAAAGAGACACTTGTGGAAGTCAAACTTTACGGGTCACTTAATGAATTACAAAAGACGGTAAAATTCATACTAGAGACAGTATTGTAGATATAGATAATTTATTCCATGCGAACGAAACAAGAATAATTATTATTTATTCTATAAGGTCTTATTGTCACAAACATTGTGACAATTCTACTTCTTCTTCTTTCGTTCACTTGAAATAGATTATCTATGTCTGCAATTTTGTCTCTAGTATGAACTTCACTGCCTGCTGTAATTGAATCAGCCGCCTGTAAAGTTTAGCTTGCACCGGTGTTTCTCTTGGCCAAAAGTTTTGCCTTGATATGTTGTACCTGGGACAGTCTTGGAGGACATGATCTATTGTCTCAGGTGCTAATCCACATGTCTAAATTTCATGTACATATGGCTGCGAAGTCGATTGTGTTCTGTGTAGAATAATGATTTGCTCTGATCTGCCCATTATATGGTAATCGTCTTGTGGAGGTTTTGGTGGCTTTCTGATTGATTTGATTAATATCTTCTTTTGCTGATAAGAAACTGGAATGTCAGGTTGCTCTTCATTTGCACCTTCTTTAGCTTGTCAGCTCTTTTACTGTGACAGTTAAATCCAAAGGTACCTCACATTTAGGCCTAGGCATCAATTCTAAACCAAGGTATTAATTTTTAAGCTAAATTATATATATATATATAATATTGATAATGAAATCATAAATAAAAATATGGCTATTCTCCAAATAACGACCACATATTATTTTATATATTATATTATAACAGGGCCTCAGTCACATGTAAATTGCAAATTTCCGGCGACTACCCCCAACCACAGAGAGTATCTCCCACGCCGCTGCGCGTGGATTGGGGCTAAACTAGATGGCTGGGACTCACGAGCAGCAGCTTCTGCATCTCCTGCAGCTTTGCTCATGAATATCACTGATCAGCCATCGAGTTTAGCCCAATCCACGCTGCACGTAGAGCAGTGGGAGATACTCTCGAAGGTGGCTGGAGACGTCGGAAGTGCGCAATTTAAGTAGTTGGAAGTCCATAATTTACATTGACTGAGGCCCTGTTTTTGGCCGCCATAATATGTGGCCGTTATTCGGAGGATAGCCAAAAATACGTTTACAGCACTTTCAGAAAATGTGTTTTAACTTTTGTGTGTTTGTGTGCTAGGTCCAGAAACAAATAATTTCATTAACCCTCTTAGCACGGACGGGCCGATTATCGGCCGGCGGATGTCTGGCCAAAAACACGGATGATCGGCCTGATCGTGTTTCGACACGAACCGCTAAGAAATCTCCTACTCTGAAACACTGAAAGTGATTCATTTATATTAACTGCGGTATCAGCTTTACACATGGCGACTTTCGAATGCTTGGTATCGAAGTGAAAATTGTTGTTGAATTTTTTAGATAGTGACCTGAACCGCTAAAAGTATGTCTGACTCGTATGTTTCTGCCCCTAAACTTGATGTTGATAAAACATTTGAATCAAGTGATGACACTAATTCTGTTGATACTGATGCAGGATTTAGTGTTAGTAGTAATAGTGGGAATCAGATGGGGATGCTGTTGTGTTCAGACCACAGCCCCAACCATGGCTCAGGGTATATCCACCCGAAGGTGTTGACACTCCGGCACATCCATTTCTAGTGCTGACTGATGGTGAAAAACACATGTCACCTAAAGATATTATTGCTGTTTCACATATATATACCTGTTTTTGACTATTGAATTGCTTACAACATTTGTAAAAAGGCCAAAGATCAATAAAAGAGATTTCAAATAAAAAATTTTTTGTTTTTAGTTTTATGTTTCAAGCATTGAAGTTGAAAAATTCAAATTCATATTTTCTATTTTTAGATATGCAAAATGAGATAATTTTGCATATACATCAATTAATTTTAACGGTATTGTGAAAATCACGAACTTCAATCTATATCCTTCAAATAGATATATTATTTCATAGGGGTCAGAATAACAGAAATCTGTCAAAAAAATTAAATAAAGTAATAACCAAATTCACTGAAAAAATGCTCCGTGTTTTTGGCTAGACCTCTGAAAAACTTCCCGTGCTAAAAGGGTTAAAACGCATTTTCTGAAAGTGCTGTAAAAGTATTTTTATTTATGATCTTATTATTATAAATACATAATATAAATATAATCTTAGAATTGACTTAGTATGAGGTGCCGTTGGCGTCGCGTTGGATTTCATTTTTGAAGCGTTACGTCCGGGAGTAAATCCAAGCATGCTAGTTACATAAATTATATTTAAAAAATGTGTCCTAACTATAATGATCAATCAAATGGTGGAGCATTTTGAAGTCCAACAATTTAGCATCAACGAATAAATATAAAGGACAATGTCGTAGTTAGTTTCAACGAAGTATAAGTAAGTCAAAAATTAATGTTTTGATTTTAATTCATCAACAAAGTTAAAGTAGGGGACAATGTGGTAGTCCAATATATTTACCCTCAACGAAGGATGCACAATGTCGTAATCAAATTTTATATCAACAAAGTAATAGACAGTGTTGTAACCCAATTTATACCATGAACAATCCCACAGAATGAAATAAAAAACATTTAATTGAAATTTAATTCAACCAGCTGCCATATTTCCTCAGCAGAAGTTGCATAAAGATTGCCAATATGGCCACTTTTGTGGCCAGAAAAGGCTAAAAATTTCTTCTTCCTTTTCTTGTTTCGTTCGCTTGAAATAGATTATCTATATCTGCAGTGTTGTCTCCTCTAGTATATTAATCTGGTAATTTTAATTTCAGCTTCATAGCAAACGGGTCACCCCAACTTTGCTCCGCTCCTGTGCCAACGAAAAACACACAGAATGTTTATCACAGCCCCTTGTAGAAAGACAAACTGCTCTCTCAGCAAATCTAGCATACACTCGCATTAAAAGCATATGGTAGCCATCCGAAGTGCTAACACAAACAGTCCGACGTTAGAAATGCAGTTCATCATTGATGGTAGCAAAAGTCATTAAAAGATCAGCAGTTGCACACGCGATCAATTTTAATCAAATAATGGCCCCACCAATATTGCGACAACTGGCATTGCGCCATTTTCTGAATCTACAAATCACACCACCACGTTGGTCGTAGTCGAAAAACATTCCAAATGAAATCCGCAGCTCACAGTGTCACGCCATGCACTCAACTCAGAGGCTAGGCAACGAAACTATATACAAATGGAGCAAAAAAGCAACGGCCACAGTCTGGCAGAAGCAAAATTTTTTGCCTCGGCTCAAAACAGTGGCAGTGCCAAGTGTTCATTTGGACCTGAAGCATTATGTGAGGGTTAATAAACTTTCACCCAAGCAGTACCCTACTATTAGCTGGAGAAGGCATTTAGGACATTACATCCACCAGCAAGCCTCGCAACGACTTGACTGCCTTCGTTAACGACTGTTCACCCAACAGCCATGCAGTTCTTTGGCACGAAGGAGACACCTTGAACTTGGGCTTCGGACTTCCGACTCCCTACACGAAGATATATGTGTGCTACTTGTGTCCAGTAGCCAAAATACTATATCACTGTATTATTAAAATTCAGCACGCATTCTAAAACGCGCAGTAGTTAAAGAAAACACACACACACACATATACATACACTCATTACCTGCCACCCGCTTGCTTGCTGGTGCAGCACACGTGACTACATATTTATAAAAGTATATATATATATATCGGGAGAGGGAGAAAGTGAGACAAGGGAA